TTGGGTTTTGGGGTTTAGGGTTCCCGGAAGCCGGCGCAGGTGCTGGCGGTGCTGGCTTGCCTGAAGGATGGGGATCCGGCAGCGCCTTGCTTTTAAAGGAGCCTTTTTGGAAGATTCGGGGTGCACGATGGTGCGTTCCAAGGTGCCGAATGTGTCAGGCTGTGTTCTTACAAAAGCCGCGGAAGGAGGAGAACCCTTACCTGGAACTCTTTGGTATTCTTGAGGGTTTAGGGCTTAGGATTTAGGGTTTAGGGTGTATGCAAAAGGGTTTAGGGTGTAGGGCTTTGGGGCTCAAGCATGTCAGGCTTCAATAGGCTGTCGGCTCTCAGAGGCCTTTCGCCCCACACGCCCCCCCCCCCCCCCCCCCTCCCACAAAACTTTAGGGTTTAGGGTTTAGGGTTTAGGGTTTAGGGTTTAGGGTTTAGGGTTTAGGGTTTAGGGCCACATGGTTCAGACCCTAATCCCACTTGCAGACGGATCCACCTGGGCTGCTACCCAGGCCCCTTTCTCGGCTGCAGATGTTCGGTTCCTGAATTCTGTGGCAAACAATGTGGCCATCAACTTGCAGGGAACCGGCGCGAGTCTACAGACCTTTGTCGAGCAAGTGGGAGGTTCAGGTTTGTTGTGGGGGCTCAGCTCGTGGCTTTTCGGCTTCAGCCTTTTTGGTGTTACATTACACTTTCGCAGCTGACACAGAGAGATAGAGAGAGAGAGAGAGAGCAAAAAGTCAATCAAGCGATAGATTCGCGGGCTAGGAAAAGAAAGAAAGTAAGTAAGAAAGAGGGTATGATCGAAACCGGATGTGGCTGCATTTGTTTGCCATTAGGTGTTGGGCTGAACGTTTTGTCAAGCAGTTTGCCGACTACAGCATCCGGATACACGTTGGACAAGGGTAGGGGGGGCTCGTACCGGTGATAGTGTTCTGTGGAGGCGCCGACAGGGGGCGTGCGACGGGCGACGCGACTCGCGCGGGGGGTTCACTCCGAAGCCCCAACAAAGGACAGAAGGAACATTCGAAAGCAAGGGTATGAGACCTGACTTGGCGTCAGGCCTCCTTTCACCCCGGAGAACCCCAATAGTCAGCGGCGCACTCACCAAGAGGAGCCTTGCCACCTCTATATAAGCTTTCGGAGAGAAAGAAAGGAAGAAAGAGGGCCGAAAAAAAGGATTTTGCCCCACGGCGCTTGGGGGTGGGGAGAGAGCAGGAGCACCCCAAACCGTAAACCCTAAACTAGGAGTGTGGCATAAACAAACCGCAGGGAGTGGGCGCCTGATTGGGTGTGCGCAGCGCGGGTGGCAAAAACCCTAAACCCTAAAGCGATGAGACGATGGACCAAGGAGGGTCTTGAAGCAGATGAAGTCCTTGCACCCTGGACGATGTTGAGCACCTGTCTAAGAAACATTCAACATACCCCTTGGGGGCTTACCCCTTAATGCTTAAAGGAGTTTAAGGTATAGGATTTAGGGTAAACTCCTGCCTTATGTTTGCTTTTTATAGGTTTAAGGGTGTGGGTTTGGTATGTTGAAGTATGCTTAGAAACTGACGACCCTGAATAATTATGTCCCAACTGGGACGACGATGTAGCTTGAAGCCTAGGAGGCTTTCTGTTAGCTGTGGGTTTGGGGATCATAGAGGAGGTCGGAACACAGTTCCTTTATGGTCTTTCTATAATTATACTAATCACCCCCCCCCCCCCCCAAACAAAAAAACATCCAATTCTCTAATTCTTGAGGCCCCTATACTATTTTACTTGTAGATGATCAGGTTTCCGGAAAGTTTTTGGCCCAGTCATGACTTTGTGAGTGTCGGTCGCCTTCAGAAGCTGGCTGGCCCAGGCATTTCCGCGAGCTCAGCGAAGCTGGAGTAGCCGGAGTGACACAGGAGGACCTCAATTTTCGGGCTGAAGGTGCCTAAACCCCAAACCCTAAACCCTTATAAACCCTAAACCCTAAGACGCTAGAACTACGAATGGTCGACGATTTTCACAGGCGCAAGCCCTCGAACTGGGACTTAGAAAGCTCCCTTGGATCTTTCCCGAATGTGGGTCATGCTAGGTCTTGACGAGAACGCAGCCCTAGGCCCCAGGTCACCGAATGGGTTTGGCGACTTGCAAGGGGCATGTGGGGTTTAGAAGGCTCCTCCGAATAAGACTGGGGGCCGGAGAGCTCATTTAGCATTTAGGGTTTAGGGTTTAGGGTTTAGGGTTTAGGGTGGGGGTCAATAAGTGTGTGGGCTGCCGCTGCGAGACCGGAAGCAAGTTTGAGATTTGGAATGCTCCCCCGTATACTAACAGTCCTTAACAGGGACTATAGTACCCCACCGATTAGAATCCCCGTTAAGGAGCTGTGAGTATAAGGGGGAACATCCCAACCTGAAGCCCTAAACCCTAAGCCCTAAGCCGTAAACCCTAAACCCGAAGCCCGAAACCCGAAACCCCAAACCCGAAACCCGAAAGCCTAAACCCCAAACCCTAAACCCTAAACCCTAAACCCTAAACCCTAAACCCTAAATCCTAAACCCTAAACCCTAAACCCTAAACCCTAAACCCTAAACCGAACCCTCGCTGCAAAACAAAGCAACCCCCGAGCTTGAGAGGACTGTAGCCGAGAGGTCTTGGGCATCCTTGACTCCGTCATCAACCTGGTTCAGAAGCACATCTGTAGGGTTTAGGGTTTAGGGTGTAGGGTGTAGGGTTTAGGGTATAGGGTTTACGTAGGGTTTAGGTTTTACGCAGGGTTTAGGGTTTAGGGTTTAGAACACATCTGTTTGTTTGGGGTTTTCGATATTGGGGTTACCTTCTTGGGGGGTGCCTATTTTATGGGGAGGTTCTACTGTTTTGGGGTCTATTTTAAGGGGTCCCCTATTTTCCGTAAACCCCCTTGTGGCTTTTGGAGCTTGGCTTGTTGATTGTATCAACCCTAAACCCTAAACCCTAAACCCCAAACCCCAAACCCCAAACCCTAAACCCTAAACCCTAAACCCTAAACCCTGAGCTTTGCGGTTGTTGAGGTTCGTCGAGTTGAGGCTTGCTTTTGCTTCTTCTGTGACCTTGGCATGCCCAGACTGAAAAAGCCCTAAACCCTAAACCCTAAACCCTAAACCCTAAACCCTAAACCCTAAACCCTAAACCCTAAACCCTAAACCCTAAACCCTAAACCTGCCCTAAAAGCACCACGTTGTAATCATGTCGCCTTTCGGCCACTCGAAGCATAAAAGAACCAGAGACCCTTGAGCTTCTAGAGGAACTCTTAGTAACTTAGTAGAGAACCTTGAAGCTTTTGGGGGGTATATACAATCCCACCCGAATTGAAAGGCTAACCTTTTGGGAGCGTACTCAGCAACAAGCAACCCTAAACCCTAAACCCTAACCTAAACCCTAAACCCTTAGCAAACCGCAGCCAAGGAAAGCCGGAGGCCACGTCGACCAGGTGGAGGTTCGCCGCTCCGCCACGGAAGCC